TGGACTTCCAGCTTGCCGAAGATTTCAAGAAGATTGGCCTGTTCCTCGACGGGGAGGTATTCGAGGAGTTTGGCTGGGAAGACGGACTGCCAGATGGCACCGGCAACGGTAAGACCGATAGCTCCGCCAATGGCCGAGAACATAGATAAGATTGCAAGGATGGCGGCGATCTGCTGGTGGTTTCCGGCAGACATGGCGGCGATCTGAGGGGTGATAATGAGGACTCCGCCGGCAAAGGCGATGAAGATCTGACACATCACGATATAGCCGATATTAGCCTCTGGACCACGGAAGTAGATCATCAGGCCCATGAAGAGGGTGTATATTGGGATGGCACCATAGAGTGTGATCGCCTTGTAGCGGCCTGTATAGCGAATCACAACACCAGCAGCAATTCCAGCGATGGTGTTGCCGAGACTATAAATTTGGACAACGTAGCTGGCCTTGGTCACGCTGAGGCCGTTGACGACCTGGAGAAAGGAGCTGAAGAAGCTATTCCAGCAGAAGAAGCTGATGAAGAGGACTGTTCCCAGCAGACATGCGCCGATCAGGTTGCGATCAAGCAGCAGGGGATAGGGGATGAAATTGACCGGAGCAAAGTACCTCTCCCACAACGCAAAGAGAACCATCAGCGCCAGGCCGAAGACAAGCAGACAGATGACCAAGGGGGAGCGCCAGCCCAGCGGCTGCAGAGCATACAGGTTGAAGGGCAGCAGAAATAGCGTGAGTCCGGCCGTGAGGAGCAAAAGGCCGATGGCATCGAACTCACGGCAGTAGTAGAGGAAGGACTGCCAGAGGGTCCTGCGGCTGGTGGACGAGGCGATGACACCCTGCCTCTTTGCCTTGAAGTAGTTGTGCAAGACGACGCCCAGCAGCGGCAGACAAAGCACGGGAACGATGATCGAGAAGGCCCCGAAGCACCAGGGCCAGCCGGGCCCTTCCAGGAAGCCCTCTGAGATGGGCCCGCTCAGCCAGATGGTGATGATGTTGGGCGAGGCCGCGAGGGCGGTCATCAGGCCACGGTTCCGCATGCTGGTCGTATCGGCGACAAAGATATTGATGCTGTAGAGCAAGGCGTTACTGCCGACGGTCCAAAACACCTGCGCTGCGGCATAGGTCTCGACGTTGGCGGTGGCCGCCATCATGACAAGGCCGGCGGTTGCAATGGCGAGCGACATGCCGTACCCCTGAGGCCGCCCGAAGACATCGAGGATCTTTGCGACTGTCAGGTTGCACACGCCGCCAATGACGCTGCTGAGGATGCCCACCGTCGGCGTGAGCGAGTGGTGCTGGAAGGCGGAGGTGACGAAGGGGGTCAGCGCCGCGACGACGCCCATCTCCATCTGCATGATGAAGTAGACAATCCAGATGAAGGCGTACGTCAGGACGAGCGAGGTCATCGACCAGACCGTCGCGATGGCCTCGACCTGCTGCACTCCGGCCTGCGGTGCCTCTGCGTCGAGCCCCTTGCTGTCCGTAGCCATGGCCGCCGGCTGCTTCTCCTCGTCCGCTGCGGCCGCTGGTGCCGTCGCTGGTGTCGCTGGCGGCGACTCTGCCGGGTATTTGGCCTCTTCTCCCATCGCCATATATAATTAATGCAAACCCCGATCCCGCTGACTTTCTCGTCGCCAGCTAACTAGCTAACTCTTAAACTCCTCGTTGCTTTGACTGGAAAGCCTGGCGGTCCCTGGGAGCGGATGGTGGACGGCTCCCGCAGCACTCTTTATCCTCTCCCCGTCCTCCCCCTGGCAACTGGCAATGCAATCATCTCGCATCCCGGACTGGCGCAGGCAGGTAAGCCGGACGATAGATGAGCAAATAATAAATAATAAGTTGATCAGCTCAGAGAAAACCTGCCTGGGATTCTCATTTTCTTTGGCTTTTCTTTTCTTCTGCTCTTGGATTGATCTTTGCATTGCAAGCCGTTTTTGCTCCTGCGTCTGCGTCGCTTGCATGAACACGCGAGCTGCCAATGATAATTAGCTCGATTCACCTCAGTTCCTTGCCGGTTTGACTTGTTTCAAGCGCTCTGGTGGGTTTTTTGCTTCGCTAGCTCCGTCTGCGTCTTGGGGCCTGCTGGGATGTTCGTGGTTTCGGGCGTCTTGGGATTCCCGGGGGGGGCTCCATCAAGAAAAGGACAGGCAACCCGTCAGATTTTGGAAACGAGTCAACTAGGTACTCCGTTGATATGGCTTATTTGCAATCGCGAAACAGACAAAGACTGATTAAACCTGCTCAAGTCTGCTCAGATCATCTTGTGGCTGAGCGCTGCCAGATGTATGTGGAATCATCACACCGGAGGGCTTCTTCTTTCGGCGGCTACCGGCCTGACGCTCTCTGCGTGGTTCGTTGTCCAGCAGAGTAACAGCTGGAGGAAAGGCCAGAGGCAGAGGATGCTGTGGAAGTCGTCTGGGGAAGATGCCGAACGGAAAAGGGAGAAAAAAGGGGCTTTATATTTATACTGCCCGCCAGGCTCTCAGGGAGAGCTTAATTAGTTTTCGCCAGGAGAACAAGTTCCAGGGACTGCAAGCTTGCGCTAACTACGGCGATGGGCGATTCCATAGTTCGAGCGATTGTAACAAGAGTTTTTCTAGATTTTTGTATTGAAGAGTTTACTGCTCGCAGCCTTGACTAGCTTCTTGCGTATAGTTGCGGTGCCGCGAGTCTGCAAATACAGGGGCGTAACTGGCTGGCAATTCCGGGACGATCAGATCACTCATTATTATTATTTTCATTATTATTAGCGAGCTGGATGTTGTGCCGAAGCAGCCGGAAGTAAAGCATGCTAGATGGAGATGTCTCCAATTTGTGATGCCTCTGAGGCCTGTTGCGTACGGTAGTTATTCCTTTTTTGCAGAGAGCTAACGGGTGCCAGCGGGCGACGGCCCTGCCCTGGAGCTTCAGCCCTTTTATCGCCGCAGAAAGACTTGTCCAGGCGAGAAAACTGGGGACTGCTGGAGCATTGCATGCAGGTGCTCCTCCTTAGCCTCAAGCATGAGAACTTTTGCTCCTAAATCGATCACAAGACGCTGTTTCAGATGTCAAGCAGTTCCATTGGCAGCACGGGAAGACTGTTTGTCAATACTACTCGGGCGTCGTCCGGTCACGAAGCCCTGATCGTAAAACTGAACTGACATTAGTTAGGTAGCATCGTAGCTTGTTGACCAGTAGTTATGGGGTAAAAAAAAAAAAAAAAAAAGGACGGAGGGAGGATGAGAGAGTGCGGACAGACGGGAGAACGATATCCACGCCCGCAAGGCAAGCTGGTGACCCGGCTGCCTTGAGCTGCTACTCTCCACAGGGCTGATTGACTGTGGCATTTCTCCTGGACAAATATAGTATCAGGATGGTTACACACGGCCTCGTTCACTCCAGATTCACATTATTGTCAAGAGGGTTGGTGTATAGCTCATATATACAAATGTCTGCAGGAGGAGGAACCTCCAGGGAGTGCTCTTTTTTTGATTTTTAGTCAAAGAAGGACACCAACGCGGTGAAGATCAGCCAGTTGTTCCCGGCCGTAGTCCGCCGTCGCCTTCAGCTTGACACGAACGCCGTCCTTCCGTATCGGGATGCTCAGCCAGCGAGAGGAGAGGACGCAGGAGTGGGAAGTATCTGCTTGTGTGCCTATTCTTGGTATTAATATATTCCTGATGGCCCCCACAGTCGTATAAAGTACATGCCATGGCCAAATCTCTCCGGCGGCCGAAGCGTATATGCCTGTCTGGCTCCCTGGCCAGACACCGATGCGGGATTCAGGGATGATCTGTCAACAGCGTTCCGTATAAAAGGAAGAAGACGGAAAAAGAAACGAAACAGGGCAAATGAAGGGAAGCATGGCGGGACCTGAGGCACCTGTGCCTCATATTCTTCTACGTATAACCAGCGAAAGTAAGGGCTGGAAGGATTCTTCAGATGCATAGCTCAAGAGGCCGGCTGAGCTTGGCTTGCTTCCTTCGCTGGCGGATATGACAAGCTAGGCAGCGGGTTTCTGGCTGGCGGGTATCGGTCATTTTTCAAGATGGCCTGGGACGGCCAGGTTCGTCATTCTCTTCCCGTGTGCTGGGATGTATGGAGGAGGGTGCAAAGTACGAAGTACTCCGTACATGAACCGCCTATTTGATTTGTCCTGGATGATGTTTTCACTTGGGCTAAAAACAAACTCTGCCTGGGAAAAAATTATTATTAATTAGCTAACCAACTGGTTCACTCATTGAAATAAAGGAAAAAATATGGAGACAAGATAGGAGTGAACGTGTTTGGTATCTAAAATAAGACCTATGGGATATTATTATCACGGAGATGCGGCCCGTAAATTAGAGTCGGCTCCCTGTATATATAAAATGTTATGCAATCATCTGGTAATACTCCTTGAAGAACATAATAAGATTTGGCTTTGCGAGGCAAACTCCAAATACGAATGATCTAGAAAACAAGCCTTGTGCGGTCTGACTAGTCGATCACTCGTTCACTCGTTTAATTTAACATGGGAGGCTGTCAATAAGCCCTGACCTTGACGGCTTGGGGGTTGTTGGGACAATTATCGGTGCGGTTGAACAGAGGCAGTCTCAGGAGACATCTATCACTGCCCGAGCCAAGTTGACCAGATTCAATAGTTAACTAACTAATGGAGTGGACAGGCTGTTTTTTTCATCCTTCGTGAGGATAGCTTCAGTGAAATAACCAACCAACTGACTAAGTTACTGTAACTAGTTACTCCGTATTGCAAAAAAAAAAAAAAAAAAAAAAAAAAACCGAGATAGCTCCAACTCCGTATAACTCGTTAACTAACCCATGGAACAAAACACTCCCTACCCACCCACTCCTCCGACACGGCATTTGGGGAGAAAGCCCACTGCACGGTGGAACCCGCTAACTAACTCGCTAGCTAGTGAGTTACCAAACATGCCCCTTGTTTTGTTTAACTCCGATTACGTTGATGTCTCTCCAGACCAGAACGGAGAAGAACCCGACAACCCAAACTGCGGTGCCAACTACCAGCATGCATATCTGAGCGTCACGGTACGCATGCTGAATAGCCAGGCGTGTGGTAGATCCAATAGGATACGACAGCTGTATTGAAAGATTTTGGTAGATCTCAGGCAGCCTGGAAAGCTCTTGGGCAGGAAGATACTCTGCCAGCTTCAAGGGGAAGACACTTTGCCAGATAGCAGAAGCAACCGTTAGGCCCACGGCACCTCCAACATTTCCAAACATTCCTAACACAGCGATACAGACCGCAACGTGTTGATGTGACGCAGCCGCTAGAATTGCAACCTCGTCACAGATCATGATCGTGCCAGCAGCTATGGAAATGAAGATTTGGCACATGATTATATAGCCAACGCTGCTGTCGATCTTGCAGTAGTATATCATCAACCCGGAACCCAACACACTGAGCGGAATCCCGATGTAGAGGCACACTGGTTTGAAACGTCCCGTGTAATGGATCATGCTACCGATCGCAATGGCAGATAAAACTGAGCATACAGTGTAAGTCTGCACAACATAGCTTGCATTCTCAACACTGAGGTTATTGACAACCTGCAGATAGGAGCTGAAGAAGCTATTCCAGCACCAGAAGCTCACGAATAACGTAGCTGATAGAATGCAGGAGCCTAGCACTGTTCGGTCTAGCAAGAGAGCGTAAGGGAGAAATGTGATGGGGGCATAAAACCGCTCCCAGACGACGAAGCTAACAATCAGTATCCCCCCAGCAAGTAGCATCGAAACCACTAGAGGCGAGCCCCAGCCTTGAAGTGAATAGAGATTGAATGGTAGTAAGAAAAGGACAACCCCAGCAGACAGGAGGATAATTCCAATGGCATCAAACTGCTTGGAGTAGTAGACAAGCGATTGGAGCAAGGTTGGGTGATCCCTGTTACTCCCGTCACTTTGCGAGACCAGACCCATTTTCTTGGCTTTTAGGTAGTTGATCAACAGGAGCTGGAAGAGGGGAAGAGTAATCAGCGGCACAAGTATGGCAAACATGCCGAAAGCCCACCTCCAGCCAGGACCATCGAGGAAAGTGGAGGATATCGGACCAGCCAACCAACATGTAATAAAATTTGGCGAGCTGACAATTGCTTGCATCAGACCACGGTTGCGTAACGAGGAAGTGTCGGCTACGAACACTGTTAGGCTATAGAGTATTCCATTGTTTCCCACTGTCTGAAAAACTTGTGCGGAGGCATATGCTTGGACATTGCCGCACATTGCCATCATGACAAGCCCTGCCGTAGCAAATATTATGCAGAAGAGGTACCCCTGAGGGCGGCCAAACACGTCCAGAACCTTGGCCAAGGTAAGATTAGTGACACAACCTATGACGCTGCTGAGAATTCCGACTGTTGGTGTCAAGGAATGTAAGGCAAAAGTGGAGGTGACGTAGGGAGTTAGGACATTCGTGGTAGCGAGTAACATCCCTTCGACAAAGTATGTGACCCAGATCATCACGTATGCAAAGATAAGCGCACCGCTGGTCCATGCTACAGTTACAGCCTCAATGCTCTGTACTCCAGGCTGAACTTGGGGTGCCTGAGGGGTGGCCTCGGCATAAGTATTGACGTCGGGAAGAGTGTCATCGCCGTCAATATTGGTATACGTATCATTATGCAAAAGACTCATGCACTCTTCAATATCTGACGTGCCATGACGGCTTGCCTGGGGAATATCTTGTAGTCCCATGTCTGAACAAAGGGGAGGATAACACCGTTCAACAGCTGTTGCAGAAGCTCCCCAATCCGAAGAGGTTAGAAGAGAGAAAAGGAATAACGGAAAAGGGGACAGCTCGTGGAGAGTTACCTCCTCTAGTTTCGATAAAAGATAACGACGAGTTGAGGCTAGGAAAGGAGGGCCCAAATTCGGCTGGTATCTTGCGGTTTTTTCGTAGGGCCACCGCGTTCGAAGGATACGTGTGGTGTAGAAAGATCAGCGCGGCCACCTGCAGACCTTCAGTCCAGAAGGAGCAGGTCCCTTGTCGGTATCCCGTTTTACGACCGGGGAGTTCTACTCAACAATCCCTTGCTTCCAGCTATAAATAGGCCCTTGAGGCAAAAAGTCGAGAGCAGGGTAAGCGTTACCGCATGTTTAAAATTTTCCAGCATGGGTAGAAGGCGAGAACAGGGGCTAACTTTTTTAGGGTCAAGGAGAATATTACATCATGACTGGTAGGTCTCTTATATCGATCATGTACTCTGTACTTTTCATCGGGACTGGCGTGCAGGGCAGGCGCGGAAAATCGGTGCTGCATGTTTCCCCCTACCACTTCGATTTCTAGTTTTTTAACTCACTTTCCTAATACCGGAAATGGTATGCAAGCTGGCATAGGCATACGTGGAGCATAGCATCCGCCTTGGCTCTAAGTGGCCGCAGGCACGTTGATCACATCCATCCGACGCTCGAAGGATGCAGTTGAAGCTTTTCTTGACTCAACACACAAAACTTCCTAACCGATGAGTGAACCAACCGTAGTCGGGCTTGTCACACTAGTTGGTTTCCCCTAGCAGAGAAAAACAGACTAATTAGCTATATCAGAGTTTGATAACAAGGCTTCGGCAGGGAAAAAAAACGGCAGAACCATAAACAAGCTTGCATGGTCTCGCCTATGTACTTAAATGCAAGGTGCTGTCAGCCTTTCGCCTGCCCTTCACATTCGAGAACATCGGCACAACCCAGTAGTGACTCGTCTTCCCGCATGATCTTGAATTCGGTTGCCGAAAGTACTCTTGCATGTTCACTTAACGCTTCTCGTCTCCTGTGTGATATTGGGAACAGACACAGACCGTCCCACGCAATCGCCAAGAGCCAATCATATTGTGATTTGTAATATTGTGGTCATGTGATGTCGGCTCGGGCCGCGGCTTCTTTTGAAATCAAAAAGTTAAAAAATGGTCAAAAACTCGAAAGACTTTTTTTTGTTGCTTTCGACTTCAACTCGACTTCATCGTTGTCACAGGCTATCCGATCGTCATCCCCAAGCAGGCGGACAACTGCCATGTTTCCATGGCATTGGAAATCCTCCGAGACGCAGGCTGATGGGGCGGTTGGCCGAAGGATCAATCTCGAAAGTCGTCAGGCTCATCACCCCATTATTGTGTGGTGGGCGACTGTTTCCCCCCGGTACAGAGCTCTTCAAACTGTCACTCTAACCAGATGAGGAGATTAGTCCTATGCTAGGTTATACGAATGAGATCCCCTCCCCTTTGCAGATCGATCTCGCTTCTTTCTCGTAGTGAGAGCTCAGGGTTCTTATGGGAGTGGAGGCCTCCTTTGTCATGCCAAGCACATCCGGCTTGGGAGCAAGGACAAAGCGTGGGCCGGAGGATCCAACGGAAAAACACAGTGAGCGTTTTTGCAGATCAGCCCCCAAAGTTACAAATATCTGACACTTTTTTTCAGTGTGGAGGTCGCTCGTTTTCTTTTCTTTTTTCAGTTTTCTTTGCTTTTTTTTTTTTTGGATTTTTTATACCCACCAGCTCAATCGCAAAGCCAAATCCGTGTTGACTGAGCTTTGCTTGGCTCTTGTCGTCGAAAGCTGCCAAGTGACGGATGAAACTCTGCATTCGGTCAGGGATTATATTCTTAGCGCGAGGGTGCAAGGATTCATACGAATTGGCTATTCTTAACGCTATATCTGAGGTCCATGTACGGGCTTCAGAGAGCCATAAATTTGTCAATCCTTCCCATCGTCTGCCTGTACCCAATCAATTGTAACGAATATGATCTCATGGGGGCCGAAGGTTGGGGGTGAACACTCACTGGTACATGTGGCAACCATGCAATCACGCCTTTAGGCCATTCCGGAGATATTGGCCCATACCACGTCACTCATTAACTGCGTGGAAAGGCCCGCCATCCTTCCTTCCTATTTTTGTTTTCACTCTCCGTTTTTTCTTTTACACGGCATACCGTAACTTGGCTCGCTTCAACAAGGCTCCAGGATCGTGTTGAAGCTTGTATCAAGAAACGAGCTGCTCCTTCCATTGATTGTTTCTGCACAGAACGGTCAAGCTCGAAGTAGTTCACGTGGATGGGTATATATTCGGACGAGTCTCCCTCTGCCTTGTGGTTGACATTACCCTAACATCCAGCATATCATCTTCGCTCCCTCAACCGAACGTGCTTTGATGCATTCGGATCTCAAAAGTTTTTCCCCCCTGACTGTGGCAGGTTTTCATTTATCTTAATTAATCCACGAAATTCTCCATCATGCCTCATAAAGCGGAACCTGAGGTAGCGGCCTCAAATAGCGTTTACGCAGTCCACGATAGAATGTCAACCAACTCCCGTAAAGCCGACAATGACGACATACGGAAGACATCTCGACTCATCCTAGATATTATATTCGAATACGCCTTGAACAAATTCGATGACTCCAAGGATAGGCTGGAAGCGGGTGCTGACCATTTCCTAGACGTAATTGACCGTTTCGTGGCTGAGGGAAAGCGTGTGGATTCATGTCTCCCTGCGTTCCCTTTCAAGTCTGCAAACAAAGTGTACAAAGTACTGGGAACTCTGCCTGACATGGCCGAGCAATTGGCCCTTGAACGGCTAAATACCATGTGTGCACGTATACGGGATATATACCCACCGGGTGCCCAAGTTACCATCATTTCGGACGGTATCACATATAACGGTGTGTAATGTCGGATCGTCCCAAAAACAAAATAGCAAGAATGAAGACTGCTAACGCGCATCAACTTGACCCTGTTGCTAGATCTTCTTTCAATCTCTGACCAAGATACCTGGGCTTATGGGGAGGCTCTACGCAAGATGGCGATTGATAAGAAGTTCATTTATATCCAGTTTTCTAGAATGAAGGATCTGCTAGACTTCCCCCTCCCTGAGAAGCTCACTGAAATTACATATGTTGCGAACTGCACAACCTTTCGCCGCCTGCTCATAAATCGATATGGCAGGGATGATCTTGACATTGATCAGGAAATTACGGCAAACCCTGATACAAAGCTCACCTATCTTGGGTACAAGAGGTTCTTAGAGTCTGATCTGAAGCACATCTTCCCTCGTGGTGTCGGCCGCAGCGCTCATAGCTATAAGAGGGACTGCAAATACTTGGCCAAACAGATGCTCATGCGAGGTTATGTAAGCGGTCCCAGGTGAATGTTGCGACTACTTATTACCGTCAATCTCCTAACATCTATTATTTATTAATAGGCTTTTGCTGGTGCAGTCAAGAACGCTTTCCCCAACCATTTACGACTCTCCATTCATGAGTCAGTTGGGTTGAACAAAGTCTCCGTGTGCTTGTTGAATACCAAAACCGGGTTTACAACACCATGGCATTGCGCCGTTGCCCAATTGGCTGATGGTGAATGGGTTAGCGCTCCCATGGGTGAATTTGCCAAAGACAGCAGGCTAGAGGTTGTATATGTTGATGGTCGCCCCAGCCATTATAGAGAGAAGCTTCGTGAGAATGGTGTTTCAGCCATTACTGAGTCAACTGCAAGTTATCTTCAAGCAGCTCGGCCTGTGAATGCTACTGGATATCTTAGTGGTGCATCAACTCCGGGAACTGCCTCACCTAGCTCTTTTTCGGCATCTCCACCTCGCACAACCGTCCGAAGCAGTGGTGGCACCACCCCTGAATCTGAATCCCCTCCCACCTTACACAAAAGCGGCCTTGGGGTTGTGATAGGCAACGATATGAATAATCTTAATGTGCCGAAAAAATCGAATGTGCTACCATCAGTGCCTTATGGCAAGCGGCTGATCCCACAGATCATGGACGAACTGGCGGTTTCCCAGCCTGAGAGAGTTGTATTCTCATTGGCATCTCTTTCTGGCAATGATCTAGTGTTTAGAGAAATAACCGCCTGTGCATTCAATAAGGCTGTTGACAAAACCGCCTGGTGGCTTCGGAACCAAGTTGGAATACCTGACTCTGTGCAACCTGTTGGCTACATTGGTCCACGTAAGTCAACTCAACTATCAATGCAGTTACTTATATAACCGAACTAACCCCATCGTCCAGATGACCTGCGACACGTTCTCTTGACTTACGCCTGTGTCAAAGCTGGCTACGCTGTGAGTGCATAGTTTAACCTCATAACCCGTTAACTCTCCAAACCAAGGTCGCTCGTTATGCTCATCCGTATTGTACAGGCTCTTTTCCTTTCCCCCAAAAATAGTACTCTGGGAGCGGTCTCTGTCCTCGAGACAACAAATTGCAACATCTGGGTCAGTGCCAGTGAAGTAGCCCCTGAGCCACTCGTTGAAGACATTTTACGAGATCGTCCCATGAAGCTATTGCAGCTGCCTCTACTCGAAGAGCTACTTGATGCTGGGTCCACCGAGGCTTTCCCTTTCTCAAAGAACTTTGAGGCAGCTATCAATGAGCCATTCTGTTACCTCCACACGTCAGGTAGTACGGGAGTGCCAAAACCGATTCCGTGGTCCCATGGTCTCATTGGTACCATGGACGCTGTCCGATTGCTACCCCCAGCTCCAGGTTTTGATGGGTTGCTTCCCTGGACTTCTGACTGGTTGGACGGAGATACAATCTACTCGTCGTTCCCAATGTGCCACGTATGTATATTCCTTTCCAAAAATATGCTTGTCCTTGGAGAAGAAGACATGACCGGCTAACGAACTCTAAGGGGGCTGGAATTATTATGAATATCCTTATGCCTGCATTCTTCAACTTGCACTGCGTTTTAGGTCTAGCTGGAGCGCTTCCAAACATTCGACTTGTCGAGACTCTTGCTGATCATATCAAAATTGATATCTGGAGCATGGTTCCCTCTCTTGTCAATGAACTTGGAGAAACACCAGAGGTACTCGCAAAACTCAAACCGTCGAAGTTCATTTGCGCATCTGGTGGCCCTGTTAGCCCAATTAGTGCTGGCAAGGTTAACGATGTTGTGAGGGTTCTGAATTTGACCGGAACTACTGAAGGTCTTTTTATTGGCAACCTTGTTACTGCAAGGGAAGATTGGTTTTGGTTCTGCTTCCACCCTTATTCGGGGTTTGAGTTCAAGGAGATTGGGGAGGACACTTATGAACATTGGATACACCGCAACGAACACTGGCCTCTCTTCCAAGGTATTTATCATACCTTCCCGGAAAAAGAGTCAATCAATTTCAAAGACTTGTATATGAAACACCCTTCCAAGCCCCCTCTGTGGGCATTCAAGGGCAGAAGCGATGACCTCGTGGTTCTAT